ATCTAGGCACCACCAGCTGGTTTCTCCAAGATGGAAGCAACAACCATCCCCGGTCCAGGTGCTCCTCAGAGCCAGGCACTTGCATTCCAGAGGGACAAAACCGACGCCGATATTCACAACCTCCCAATCTGCTTTGGGCTTCAGCCAATACAGCAGCAAGGCACCTTGCAGAGTTTTTGTGCACTGTTAAAAATCACCCCAGCAGGCCCCGGGTCTGTCTCAGATAAAAGCTGGCGATGTTAAGTAGCAGCAGGTGCATTGATGCACCTGATTTATGAATGCAAACTTGTCCAGTTGTTCTGGGAAAGCTTCCAGGAAAAAGTCACCCCTACAGCTGGGGATCAGCCTTCCACTCAAGCAGTTTTAATAAATACACTGCTAATACAAGCCCCGGTGACTTACGTTTTCTATTTATCCGGAGAAGAGGGAGAGGCCCGGGGAAAGCTTCTCCAAACACCCCTTCCCACCAAAGAGTCCTCACCCCACCACTTGAAGGACAGAGACCACCTCTAGAGATGGGAGGGACTTAGGAGCTGAAAGAGTCATGGTAATCAATCAGCTGACTGCTAACCAGGGTGACATTGAGTACTAGTTGCAGTGGAAGGTGTGAGCTGAGTCTCTGTCGATTAAAACTAACGGCCCATTTCACACAGACCACCAAAGAGCTACTAGATCGTAACATCTCTGGGTCAAGAATGACCTAAATGCACAATCCACAAGTAAACATCTCCGGATCTCATTCCCAGTGTCCAGATGGATCTAGTTCCCCAGCTCTTCACATGTTTGAAAACTTGGGCACAGTATGAGAAATCAGTCATAATTAAGCAAGGTAACTCCTACAGGCCCGATTGGTTGCTAAGAAACTACATTCATAAAAAATGGAAGTGTCTAAAGTGCTGCTAAAAATAATTGTCTGGACAAATCAGTGACCAACAGTGGCTGCATTAGAAAGGATTTCATTTAACTCTGACTACAGTGTAGAAATCTTAACCAGCAATGTTCTTCTTTCACCGATATACCAGAATGACTAACCCACTCCATAATATCACTGTATCACTACAGTAACAAAGAGTTCATATAAACCTGTGTGATGTGTGATCGGTTTTACTAGGGCTCTCAATTAACCACAGATAACGCATGTGATCAACTCAAAAAATGAATCACAATTAAAAAAAATAATTGTGATTAATCACACTGTTTAACACAGAAATGTATTAAACATTGTGGATGTTTTTCTACATTATCAAATAAACTGATTTCAGTTACAGCACAGAACACATCGTGTACGCCAGGGCTGGGCAATAATTTTTGATGGGGGACCACTCCAAGAATTTGGAAAGTGGTCAAGGGCCATACTCTTCCAGGATATTAATGGAGGAGGTGCAGGGAGGTTGAGTGCAGAAGGGAGCTTGGGGTAAGTGAGGGAGTTTGGGTGAAGGAGGCAGTTGTGACCTGGGGCACTGGATGGGATGCAGGGGGTTGGAGTGTGACCTAGGGCAGGGGATTGAGGTACAGGAAGGAGAGGGTGCAGGGATTTGGGTTGTGAGCTAGGGCAGGAGGGGACTGTGATCTGGGGCAGGGGGTTGAGGTGCCCATCTGGGAGGGGATATAGGTGTAGGAGGGGGGCAGAGGTTTTGGTGGTGTAGAGGGGTGGCAAAGGGTCGGGGTGCCAGAGGCAGACTCTGGCTGGGAGACTTACCTGCTTGACTCCCAGCAAGGCGCTTTCTCAAACAAACTCCCTGCTTGTCCTGCCCCACACTGGCTGCAGGGGCCATGTGGTTTCTGAACGGCTTACCGGCCATTGGCTTATTCCTGAATCAGCCTCCCTGCCAGCCAGTGTTCCCTCTAAGGTGCGAGGCAGCCCAGCTTCACAGGTGATTTATCAGCCCCGCCCAATCAGTCAGCTCCATGCACAGAACCCTGAGCCCTTGACGGGGTGGGGCTGATTAAGCACCTGTGAAGCTGTGCTGCTCCACAGCTTAGAGGGAACCTGTCTGCCTGCCCCGCCCCCGCACAGGCAGCAGCCATGTGGTCTGGAGCCCCTTGTGCTTCGTGGCTGCCTGTTATTGAAACAGGCCGCTCCCGTTGGCCGGTTTCTAGCCAGGAAACGGCCAATGAGATTGTGCTGAGGAAGGGAGCAGCTCCTAAAGCTTTCCCCTCGCCTCCCTGCTGAGTTTCTGAGAGGCTTGCGTGTTGGGGGAGGGGA